ATATATATATATATATATATGTATATATATATATAGTATATATATATATACTGTATATATATATATATACTGTATATATATATACTGTATATAGTAGTACAGTATACTACTATAGTATAGTCCTCTGGCTACTATTTCTCCTCGTAGTGGAAATGCAGCGTTTAGCTGGGGTACGTGATTAATTGCGTATGCGCACTGCGTCTCCAACTCTGCCCGCACCATGTTCCAGTTCAGGAATGTTGAACCCCACACGCTAAGCAACAGCAATACACACGCGAGTCATTCTTTCCCAACACTCCAGGCTTACTAGTATATTAGTGATAACCACAAATAACAGCACAGGAAAGAACTCACATTTACGGAGCACCCATTGTATGGTGGTTGCTTTCTATACTTTACCTCCTTTTATAACATGGGCATTATCACCAACAAACTAAAGACGGGAGAAGCTAAAAATCATGACCAACTTCATAAAGCCAGAAAGAAATAGACAGGGGATATGAATCCATGTCTGTGTGACCCCAACATCCCTGTCCTTTGACGAGGTCCAACACTATCTGTGCCTTGCTGTGCTCAACCCTCCTCTCCCCCAAAAGACTGGACCTTGGGGGGCTGGAAATGGGCCAGAGAATGGGATAAGGCTGCATAGATGCAAGGGTCTGTGTCTTGGGGTGAGAAAGACTGTAAGTTGGGAAAACAGCTCACCGAAGAAGGAAGGATGGAGACTGGGCTTGGGGACATCACACAATATGGCGGCCTAGACCTCCCTGCCAGAGCAAGAAACACATGATGGAGCACTGGGATGGAAACCCCTAGTGTCCCGAAGACAGTGTGTCCCACGGGTGCTTCCTCTGCCCTTCCCCAATTGGCCCCTTAATGGGTTTTAAAATCTATATTTACTGTTGAAAATTAGAAAACTTGTATAGATAAAAATAACAAAAATCCCATAGCTAACCACTTACAAAATATTTGGACATTTTTTGATTTGGTAATATTTAGAGATAAATATATAGTTAATAAAAAGCAGGACCATACCTTACATACTCTTCAGATTTATATACCTGGAAAATCATCCATTTTAAGTTTTACAGATATACACATTATTTATAGTATTCTTATGCTTTTTAAATCTGTGATAAATTTTATAGTTACAGCCCCCTTTATAGTTCATATCATTTATTTGCATCTTGTCTCATTTTTCTTAATTCATCTTGCCAGTAGTTTTCCTACTATGTTATTCTTTTCAAAAACAAGCTCTTGGTTTTCTTGTTTGTCTTTGCTCTTTTTAATTTTTTTCTAGTTCATTAATTTCTGTAGGGATATATTATTTTCTTCCATTTTTTTCTAGGTTTATGTCCTTGGGTCTTTTTTTTTCTATATTCTTTTTTTTTTTAAATGTTTATTTATTTTTAAGTAATCCCTACACCCATCATGGGGCTCAAACTCATGACCCTGAGATCAAGAGTCACATTCTCTTCTGACTGAGCCCACCAGGCACCCCTCTCTATTCTTGAGTCAAACATTTCTCACATAGGCTTTTAAACGGCTACAACTTTCCCAGTAAGTACAACTTTAGCTGGATACCACGAGTATTACCTTAAGCCATTTTCACTTCATTTTAAATATGACTGAGTTCTTTGAGTCATCCATTGTTTTTAAAAATCTGTTGCAAAATTTCCAAGTGTGCATTGACTTCTAATTTTAATGCATTCTAGTCAGGGAAAGTGGTCTGTATGATAATGACTCTTTGATAATTGTTGAGATTTGCTTTATGACCTCGTTCATAGTCAGTATTTTCAAATGTCCCACATGTGCTTGAAAGGATTGTCTTTTCCAGAACAATTTGGAAATTATCTATGCTTGGGCACAGCAGCCATATTGGACCATGGCTCAGCCCGACAAGGAAGCCATGTTGAGGAACACAAAGCCTGAAGGAGCCTGAGTCTGAGGACCGTGGGGCTGCTGTTCTAGGCCTGACTCTCAAACACTGAACATCTTTTACATGAGAGACAAAGTTGCATCTCCTTTAAACCACTATTATTTCAGTTGCAAGCGTGTACAATTCAAATTAAAATGCTCAGTTTCCTCATCTAAAAGAGGGTGTCTTCGTCCATGTAGGCTACCATAACAAGATACTATAAACTGGGTGGTGTACAAACAACGAAAAATTATTTCTCAAAGTTCTGGAGGTTGGGGAGTCCAAGATCAAGTTGCCAGCAGATTCTGTGTCTAGCGAGAA